CTCTTCCTCCCAAGAATTGTTCCAAAGACGATGGATGGGTCCAGAACTATGCATGGGTCTGGTTTTTAAGTATATTGGGAAATTTAAAGTGTACATTTCAGAATTGACAGGGTGCTCCCCTTGGAGCATTTTCCAACTCCAGCTTTCTCCCCGGACTGTACTGAGATGCCACTGGGCTAAAAGCAAGGCTTGTAGTCCAGGGGCATGTCCTTGTTTGCTTGCTTTGTCTCTGGACTTCTTGCCAAGTGTCAAAGATCTTTCTCCAGAAAATGCCACAATTATTCCAGATGACCTCAAACACCGTTTCTTGTCATAATATGTCAAGAATGAACATCGAGTGGAATAAATAACACTGGCCCAACACCTTAGAGCAGAAAAGAATCAGTACAGAAGCAAGTAAAATGTTTAACAGGAACAGCCCGGTGCCGTGGGAATAAGTTTTGATACTTTCTTTAACACTATGATGATTATGAGCAAAGGTTATACCTATAAAAAGCCAGAAAAGTCACCTCACTATGTGTAACAAACCTGTGAACCTGATGTGACCTTTGTCATGAGGTTTAGTCCTGGGGACTCTTCATCAAGAAATGTTCTGGAATGTGATTAGAATGTGATCAAACTGGTTTGATCGAAAGACTGTAGGTTCAGGATGCATTTAATTTACTTCCTTCTAAAGAGCTGTGTTGAGGAAACAGAGACTGCAGAAACAGAAAAGGAGGGGACTAACAAGATCAGAAAGGGAGGGCAATCAGAGGATTCATATGTCCTAACACCTTTACTCCCTCTAGATGGTTCCCCGAGAATATCTAGTGTGAACCCTGGCGAGTCACCAAGGGTGAAGCAAGTACAGAGGCTCTGACTTAGATGCCATCCTTGGAAAGATTGGGAAGAGCACTTGGGCTCTGTGAAGTACAAGGAGGTATGGGGGGGGGCATAGTCGTGTGGGACCTTGCACTTGACATAGGAATGCCAGCTCATGCAGAAAGAACCCCAGGTTGGGTTCAGCTTGCTAACCACACTGTTATGTAGGTATGTCCCATGCCCTGGACATTTTCATGGCTGAGAAACTGTAGCTTGTCCAAGAAGTGTGAATCTAACAAGGGCTCAGCTCCTAGCTGTGGGTTTGGAAAACAGTATGTTCCAATGGGTTTCATGTTGCAACTGGCATCTAAGCATCTTCCGCCTCCTGAAGCTATGTGGGACAAGTCAGGAGCTGCATCTCCCCGCAGACTGTGGCCAGTTGCCGTGGACACTGCTGAGGCTTCAGAGAACAAGGTAACTACACACGAAGATGTCCTTGCTGCTCTGCAGGCACAAGGCCACCGGCTGACCACGTGTCACCCAGAACAGCTTTCCAGCAGGTCCTTTACTAGCCTGGAATCCTGGAAATGAAAGGTAAAACTTCCCTTTGTGTTGGTTTTAATTCTCCCCTGTAACAAGTTATTTGAAGAGTAATGTGAGAAGTAGAAAAAAACCAGAGAATTTGGTCCAGACCCTAGAGGAGGGCCTAGATGCTCATGTTTATCCTGGAGGTAACTCCTCTTTTGATGATGGTGAAAGTCATGTAAAAGTTAGGTCATTTAAAGAGAATTTATTTAAAAGGCATTGCAAATGCATGCCATGGCAGAAGAAATTGTTCTTTGCTGGAGATATGGAGGATTGATTTATTTAAGTCTGGGAATGGTCTTTGTGACTACATTCCAGTGTTTCAGACTCTGGCCCTCCAATGCCAGCTCTGAGGAAGTTTCTCAGCTTGCACAGCTTGGCCCAAATGCAGGAAGAACAGCCAGAAACCTGGCCTGGGCAAGGGCTCAGCTTTGGGAAGAAGCAGATCATTGTCTCAAGCTCCCTTGTCAGGCAGGAGAACTCTAAGACACCCTATTTCATTGATTTTATAAACAAAGGAGCCAAGAGACACAGGAGTTTACCAGCCTGCCCTTGTTTTCCAGTTGATGAATAGGCACCTGGTCCTGACCCCTGGGTTCCATATGCCAATCTTTTGCCAACTACTCTTCCCTAGGGAAGCCCAGAAGCCAGAGGTAGAGTAACAGAGGTAGAGGTTGTTCCCACTTAAGACAAGAGGTTGTTCCCACTTAAGACACGAAGGCAAAGCCTGCTCCTCTGCTGGGTTGGAAGCAGCCTTCCAGAATAGAAGTAGGGCAGGATAGAGCTGCCCTTTGGTCCCCTGGAGCTTCCACAGCCAGTAGGGGCTTGGCCTCCCTCTCAGAGTATGGCCAACACTGTGGGCCTGAGCTGAGCCCCAGCACAGACACAAACACTCCCTGGTAGATTGACAGGCCTTCCCGGGCAGCTTGCCTGCCCTGTCTTTATCTTCAGTTATAAAAGCAGTACCAGGTTTTCTCATCAGCCACAGCCATGTCTCCAAATGGCTTTTCAGTGTCAGGCCCATCAGGAAATTAACTCATCAAGCAGTGACAGCTGCTAATTTTTCCCTTCCACGTCAGATGGATCGCCCGCTGAAGCTAATCATGAATCACCCATCCCTGATTAGAAGGTGCTTCCGAAACACATAACTGCCACCCCAGCTAACTTTTTCCTCCATGGAAAATGATATCACCCTAGAGGAGTGGAAAACCGAACTGTATTCTCCAACATGATGGAACAGAAGGCTGCTCAGGTTAGCTTGTACCTTCTTACACTGCGGGCTACTACACAGCAAGGGCAGAGACAGGCACTGCTCTCTGGTGCCAAGGGAATGGGCCCTCCCTTTCCTAGGACCACTCCAGGCCAAGAGTTCTTAGGTTGACTCCTTATCCTCTGCTTAGGCCTTCCTTCCTTCCTTCCTTCCTTCCTTCCTTCCTTCCTCCCTCCCTCCCTCCCTCCCTCCCCCCCCACTCCAGGGAACAAGGGTGACAGAGCTGGGAGACACTCTTTGTGTGGCTGGGATTCTCCTAGGTGCCATGCTAGTGGTGAGTGGGACCAGGCTCCTCACAGAGGGGTCCTGGGTGGGGCTACTGGGCCTGGAGTCTTGGCTGTGTCCTAGGTAGAGGAGGCTAACAAGGACTAAGGCCTCACCCCGAGTCTCCTAAGCTTCTTTCTTGAGGGACTTTAACCTGATGCATCCACGGTCATTTGAGAGCCTCCTTTTAAACATACCCCTCAGCAAGAAAGATGCTGACTAGCCAGGATCCCTACTAACAGTACTTGGTGGACCTGGGAATCCAGTTGGGTTCTGCAACCTCCACACACCTCAGGCCCCAAGAGGCAAAGCTGTTTGGTCAGCTTAGCCCGAGTCCATCCTCACTCCCAGCCCAGCTCTCACAAGCGTCGTCCCTGAGCTCAGTTTGATACAGAGGTCCCTCTTCTCTTGCTGGATGTGTCCTGGATTCCCAAAGCTACTGGGCCCAGGCTTCGTCCACATGCTTGTCCTCCACTTCAGACCAGTATGTGAACGGCCCGATCTCTGCATCAGGGCTGCCTGCTTCACCCTGTTGCAAGGGTGTTTAGCAGGAGCTACTGCTTCTCCTGTCCCGGAGGGCTGGGGCCTCTCACAGTGACCTTGTATAACAGTTATTTCTGTGTCTAGAAATGACCATCTCACTTTGTGGTCCTGCAAACAAACCACCAGCACTGAACAACTTTCATCACAGAAGTCAAATCTACGCCATTTCTATATGCTAACTAGGAAATCAGTCTTCCCTGCGTGCAGAAATCCTTGGGGGCTGGATCATTCCCTTGGCTTAATATAAACAGGGTCTCCCAGGGTCACAATTCCTATGTAGAAATGTCATTGGCTGGGCTCTTACATCTTTAAGATTGTCACAGTTTTCTCGAAGGGGGGAAAAAACCCATCACCACCAAGAAACAACAAAAAAACCCAACAAACCTTCCGGAAAGCTGTGGGCTCACTGCGTTGTCTTCATAGACAATCCATGCCTCGATGAGTGTCCTCCGCTCACAAACCCTGTCATGCCTCATTATTCTGAGGCACACATTTGTGTATGTGCTTCTTAAACTCCCTTACATTCCAATAGTTGTGTAATGAGAGAGAAAAGAGAGGTAACATTAACCTAGCTCTATAGGTAATTACAGGATACAGTAGCTTGGAGAAGCCTGTGCAATCTTTCTCAGTCTAAGAACACCTTCTGTACAGTTTTATTTATTTATTTTTTTATGCAAAGACCTGCTCTTTTCATCGTGCATACAACGTGATTGCTGGTTTTGACACTGCAGGCTACACTGGTTTTATGAAGGATTAAATGCCACCTGAGACATATTTATCCTAAATAAATCACACACAGTAAACTACAGCATGTCAGTGTCAACGCCCTGGACTGTAGCGGAAAGGTTAGCCATACAGGGCTCTGCGAAGGCAGGAATTAGCATTGAGCCTCAGGACTGCAGGGCCTTGCGCCAACAGGAGAGGTGATCAAGAAATCTCTGCACTGGAAACACCCCATCCCCCTTTTTTAACGTGTGCGAGGAGCCTGGCGAGGGCCATCACTTTGTAAAGGTCACCTCTATCCTGATAACAAACAGGAGTTGATCCTGTCACTGTTTGGCAAAGACATTGCTTAAGAGGAGTTGAGTACTCCTGCCATTTTTAGGGAGCAGGAGTAGTCACACCCAGCTAATTATGAGTCAGTGTCAAAGCTCAGGTTTTACCCTTTCTTATTATTTTGCTTGGAGGGTGGCTGGGTGTAGGGAGCTGCCTCTGGAATGGATACAACTCAAGGCAAAGAGACCAGGAGGCAAGAGGCCAGGCTGCCCCTAGTGGTGCTCGCACTTGGGGCCTTAGGAAGGGATTTAAATGGCTCTTGTACTAGCACAGAGACTGGCTTCCTGCCCCTAACCATGACGGACGGTGTCTGGGCTATTTGCCGTTTATGTGATGGCACTGGGCTGCAGGAGGTGGCTGCTATGGATGTGACGCAGTGGTTAAAACACAGGGGGAGGAGGAACCTCCTTGGCAGGCTGGCCGGCATGGCCATTGCAGGTGCGGTCTTGGCTGGCTGACCACTGAGAGTACGCCATCAACCTTAGTTTAATGCTAGAATTTTATTTCAAAGAAAACAACAAAAACAATTTTGCCTCGGAGGAAAGGGGTATTTTACAATTTTGAAAAAAAAAAAAAAAAAAAAAAAAGGATTGGAATCAAGAAAAATTACCAGAACATAAACGTACTCCCAGCACTTGCAGCGAATCCACCATGGCTCGGGCAGGCAGTGCTGGGAGGCAGAGCAAGGGGTGGGCTTCTACTGTAATGTTCAGGGTCAGCCTTCCCGTCCTCAGAAAGGCACGAGTCAACCCCGGAAAAAAGATGCGGGCACAAACAGGTGTTTGTTACAAAACGCAATGAGTGGGATTTCCCACAGTGGACATTTCATGTGCAGACGTTACAGTATGAAGCGAATTCAGGGTGAGAGTCAATTGTCTTAACCAAGGCGGATCTTAACTCAATAAAAATTTCAAGACTTTTCTCAAACCACAGATGAAAGATTTCTCTTGTGCAGAGTGGCCATGGCAAAGGAAACACCCAAAATATTCGCAGAGAGGAAATTTATACATAAATGAACTAACAGGCTTCCTTTGGTCTGGGAACACCATTATCTCAAACTTAATAACAATAAAAAAAAAAAATGTGTTCACTGCTTCAAGATGTAGTCTCGGTAGCTCCGATTTTAATCGGACGTGGAGGGACAGGACAGCAGCGGGCGCAGATGGTCTGAGGCCACAGACAGTTCCTTTTTCCCATCAGAGGTCACCATCTTTGTCTTTTGATGACTAAACAGGGAGCTTGCATGGGAGAAAAACCAGGGACAATTGCTTCTCAGTATACCGGTGCCTGGAGGGCAAGGGCCATGAGCAGAGGGCCCAGTGACCCTCTGTGCACAGCCCAGGGTCCATCCTGCCCACACTCTTCTGAGGTTGCTGAGCAACCTAGGTGTAGGCTGGGCTCTGTGCCTTCTCACTGGCCGCTGCTACCCCTGCCTGAAGGGCCTGTTCAGCACACCTCTGAAGTAAACATTACGAGCAAAGCTCATCTGCCGCTGCGCTGGCCTGCGGAGATCTTTGCACACTGCCCTGTACCCGGCATGGAGGCCTGCCTCATGCTTCTTGGAGCTCAGTGTTTTCTCTTTGGCTCTGGATCACTGTGGCTGCCGGGGAGCCCTCCTGCGTGTAGATGACCATGCTGGTCAGCTGTTCTGTGCTGCTTGTGCCCACAGCCTCAGCGCCGAGAGCAGCCCCCGCCTGCAGGATCTCTGGAGAGCTGGCCGTCTCTATCACAGTGCGGGAGTAAACGCCCGTGTCCTCCTGCACACCGGGAGGCAGCTCTGTCACAATGTAGTGGGTGGCACCCTCCGGGAAGCTGCTGCTGGATTCACGGACCATGGCTTGCACCAGCTCTTCTGTTACAATGATCTGTGAGATCTCCCCTGCCGACTCCACCAGGTCCACGTGTTGGGCAGGCACCCGCAGGCCGTGGGTGTCGTCCTGCATGATGAACTGGGAGCCTTCTCCGGCCACCATGTGGACAGCACCCTCCTCATTCACAATGACCTGGGTGACACCATCCTTCATCAGCTGGCTGGCGGCAGCTGTGTCACACACCGCGAACTGGAGGACCCCCTGAACCATTTTCTTGAAGGCCACCTGGGCTCGCTCCTGAGACGTGATGATGGCTGAGGGCCGGACAACCTGCGTCAATACCCCCATGGCTGCTGGGCTCTCCTGACCGTCTGTGCTGGCCTGGGCATGGGCTGCTTCCTGGCCGGGCAGCTGGATCAGCACATCCTTGTGGCTGGGCCTGGCCTTTTCCTCGTGCCCTGCACCGTTCTCCACCTCGCCCAGCTCGGTGACAGCACACAGTAGGGCATCTAAGGCTGAGGAGGTGTCGGATGGAGGCGCTGCAGCCTCCGAGAGACTTAAGATCTCCTGCTTGGTAACCTGCTGTATCACAGCAGCACCTGGACTAAGGGCCTCGTCCGCACTGTGGCTTTCCACAGAGCCCCCCATGACAACCACCTGGGTGGCTCCATCTCCCAGCTGCTCCGGGAGGATGGGCCCAGGGGCCACGCTGCCCACATGAGGCCCATTCTGACTTGTGGCAATGACCTGCCCGTGTTCCGTGATGTGGACCACCCTGGCCACCTGGCCAGCCATCGCCAGGGTCTGCAGCGTGGCTGCCGCTGTCTCCTCCACGGAGGCATCCAGGGCAAACTCCCCATCGTAGCCCTGGATGATGATGACCTGCTGGACCTCCTCAGGGGGTGAAGCCTGCCTCTTGCTGCTTCTCAGAGACTTCTCCTTGACAGGCGACTCCTCTGCCAGGGTGGCTGCAGTGAAGGGGCTGTCTGTCTCCACAAAGGTGGCTCCTTGTCCTTTCAGGCGACACTCATAGGACTTGGACACGATGCCTGTGGGAGACAGGGAGCAGTTAGAGTTTGGAAAGAGGACGCCAGGGTCCAGGTTAGGCAGCTCTTCTGCGCAGCCCCAGCGAAGCATGTGTGGCCCTCTCTGCAGAGGCCAGGGAGTCCCCACTGGGAGTACCGAGGTTGCTCAGTCATGTCTGCCTTTACAGGCGGCTAGGAGATGCACCTCCTCCCACACTCATGGGACACCTGTGCAAACCCGGTCCTTTACGGTGCTGTTGGTGTGTGCGCCGGGGTGGGATGGACACGGCCCTTCCGCGTGACGGCCAATACTGTCACCTTGACAGCATCTCCAGGCGCCATGCATGGGCTTAGAGGCCTGGACTGAAGGACGGGGGAGGGGACTGTGCACCTGCACCTGCACCTGCTGAGGCTCCCTGACTGCGGCTGCAGTGTCTGCAGTGTGCCCAGCTGCTGCAAGCCCTGCCACGATGGACTGCCTCTCTTTTAAGTTGCTGCTTGTCAGACACTGTCACGGCCGAGAAAATGACTACACACATGGTTCCCTCTCACCTCCAGCAGCGAGGGCAGTAAGAAGGGCCAGCCGGGAGCCAGGAGCAGGACCTTTGAACCCAAAGGAAAACCTTCCCTTAATGTCCACATACCAAGTCCAGTGCATTTGTTTATTCAGTAAGGATAACGAAGGCTTTACCTATTAAATTAAAACTATGTCACTAATAAATGTAGCTTTAAGAGTTTACCGGAACAAATACTTACTAAACCAAAGTAAGAGAGGTAGCCCAGTGTGGCTCTGCTGGGCAGTGTAGGCCGGCCAAGTCCAGGGCACAGGAATATAAACAAAAGCCCTGGGCACCTGGCGTCTGGAGGAAGGTCTCCCCAGGCTGTCCTGAAGGGCAGGCTCTGGGGTGCAGTGAGCAGCTCATTTCACCTGTCCAGTTCAGGTGCCCCGTGTGGGAAAAAAAGACAGTGGTCAAGCTGTGTCTGCTGACACTTCTGTAGTGCCCAGACACTGTGTGTGCAAGGGACCGGCAAAGCTGAAGAGACGCAGAAACACACTCGGGCTTCGGGACAATACTGAGGCGAACTGAGGCGAAGGGGCTGCTAACGAACCAGGACCTGGGCCTTGGAAGGCAGGAGGTCGCCTGGAGGGCAAGGCAGAGAGCGGCCCAGGGGGACGTGAGTGGGGGCTCCGGGAGGCTCACACACCCCACCGATGGCATCTGTGTGCGCTAAAGGATCAGAGGGGTGACCTGCTTTGTGGAGGAGGAGGGGACAGGCCAGAGACAGGAGAGCAGGATTCTGTCCCACCACTCACCCAGCCACTCCATCTTAAGCTCACCCCGTGGTCTGAGGGACACAGGCTTGCCCACACAGTCAGGGTGTGTGAGCCCTGACAGGGCTAGGCTGGCTTAGGAGAGAAACCGTTGAGCCCATCTCCCAACAGCAGCACAGATGTGGGGAGCACACCTGCACACCATCAGCACCTCATCTGGGCCCCTCCCTAACTCAGCAGGGCAGCAAGTGTTGGGAGTCTCAGGCTCCCTTTCCTAAGGACAGAATGATTCTAACTAGAGCTCCTGTCCTCTCCTAGGGCTCCATCAGTGTAAATGGGTTCACTGTCACCGCCTCCTCTTCCAAACAGGAAATGACCCACTCACATCTGTGTTCAACATTCCCTGTGTCCACAGCATCTGCTTTTGAGACAAAGCTCCTCCCACTCAATGGCATGATCTGTTTTATAAAACTATGTGCTTTCTCCTTACCACGGGGGACTGGGAGGGAATTAAGACTAGTAGCTCAGCATTTATTGTTGGCATCCCTTAAAGACAGCAAGTTAATCCGGGGTGAAGGCCTCAGATAGAGCCTCTGGGTAAGCACAGCATTTGGGGTTGATTGGGGCAGAAGCTGCTGGTCTTGTCTGCCAAGAGGATAGATACGCCCAGGCCATTTCCCGGACTACAGGATGGAGGTCCTGCATTTGGAAGTATCCACTGGCTGCTAAATGTTATCTTTTTTTTTGTCTTTGTTGGAAAACTCTTCATGCTGTGGGCCTTAGAAGGGTAAGGAAGTCACAAAATCTTAGTTCAACAAAAGACAGGCAACTACTAGACAAGCCCCGCTCCCAGAAGCCCCTCCCTCAGCTCACTGGAAACCACAGGGTGCCTGCCAGGAGAATATAGCTCAGACTGTTGCAGTAGGGGACTTGGGGTGGTCCCCAGGCCTTGCCCTGGGGATCTGCAGTCCCTCCCTACAGCACTCTGAGGGACTGTGCCCGGGAACCAGCTTGTGCTGTGCTCCTGTTGCTACCCAGCCTTCCTTCTTTTCAGAAAAAGAACCTGCTCTCCCTTGCCAAAACCAGTGCTCGGTCTGTGGACACAAGAGTGCACCCTCACGTCATCTTACTTTCATGTCCTCCCTTTCCGAAGACACCCAGCACCCAGGAGCGCCACACACTTGACTGTATATCTGTGCCTGGGAGAGGGTTGGCCTGGATCCTCATCAGTCTCTCTTGTCCACTGGGCCCTCCAGCCCCACCATCAGGATCTGTCAGGCTCTCCTCTGTTATTCATGCAAGCTCATAACCAAGCTTTAACTTTTCAGCTCAGGGTGTAGTATTTTGCTTTCCTTCCTATATTCTGATTTTGGTTTGTTTTTGTTCATTTTTATTTCAAGGGAGGGCATGCATGGTGTAATTCAGAGGAATAACAGCAAATGACATAAAGAGAATGATGCATTCAACTTCCCCTGCCCCCAATAATTACAAAAGGGAATACCGCCATTACATTAAAAGCCAGGAGAGACCAAGTTGGGGGACGTAAGTGACATCCTACTCTTAGGAGGCAGAAAGGCCACTTGCTTGAGCCTTAGCAATCCCACCCCTCACTGGGGCAACCGAAGGAAAACGTCCTGGGTGCAGAAAAATCCTTTTGACTCGCTGGCAGCATAGGTCATCACCAATTCTGAACTACTTGTTCAGCTCATTTGAATCCAGAAACGGGTTAAGCTACTTCCAGACCATTAAAGTAAACTGTGTGGGGTGTGGGTAAATACTGCTGTCAGTTGGGTCTGTGATGAAGCTTAATGCTACCAACATCTTAACCTCTGGCAGCACGGCCCCCGGTTAGTCCATCATAGTTCATAAATGTGAGTGCAGGTCCGTCTTTTGATTCAGCAATTTAATAACTTCGAGTGCTGTCAGTACTGCTTTGAAAGATAGCGCCTATAAAATGTAACAGCCTCATTCAGATTGAAAAAGATCCACCCATTGAAGATCCTTCCATTTCAACTGTAATGAATTAAGGTAGAGCGATGTAGGAGTTCAAGTGTCACTTAAACAAATGTGAGCCTCTACCATAGCTGTGGATCCCAAATGGGTCATGATCAAGAATGACCTGGGCACACATGCTCTTTCTAGTGACTATGGACTAAGACACCTTCCAGTGCAAATGGCCTCACGGAGAGGCACGGTGGACATGGCGCTGTTGAGATTTTACCCTAGATGGCCAAGCGTGCCAGACCAGCCAGCATCCGTGCTGTACTTGTGTTTAAAAGACGTCGTTGGATTCCAGGGGGAATGAGAGTATCAGAGTGCCGGAACTTAATCCTTGGAGCTGTTTCCAACATGGCAGCATGGTCATGTGCAGGAGTTGGGGATGGGATTAAAAGGCAGCCCTGTTCATGGTTAGGAGACCCCTTTTATTGCTAGTTTGCTTCCATGAGCAGAGATTTTGCTCATGTCTAAACATGTGGGAGAGTGAGCCACTGAGTCGGTACTAGAGGTGGGCTTCTCTCCTCCCTCCCCTTAGGAGAGAGTGACCAGAGCACAGCGGTGGAACTGGCTGAGTGCCTGACCCCTTCCTTTGTGTGTGAGTTCTCTGGTTACTGTCATCACCCCCCCAACACACACACAATAAATACCTTATGCTTTTGTTAAGCTTACATTTAATTAAAATGTACAGAATTTGTGCAGTAAACTCAAATGAAAGAAATAAAACAAGGGCCCCCTCTCTTGAAGGCATACGTTGTGAATGAAAAATGTCATTACAGACTAAAAAATTTTGCAGTAAACAGGGCCTACAGAGAGAAGTTTCCCCTGTAATGACATCCATAAAATACACAAATGGCACTTTTAGTACCATCCTGAATATGGCATTTTCTGTGCTCTACACACAATCTAAATGGTTTGATCATAGAGCATAATACTCCATTGGGTTTATAGAACAATCAATGTTCCATAAAATGATGTATTTATCCAATAGTAGGCTCAGCAGTTACTGGGCTATGACATTGTAGGACACAGGCTTGGGCCCCTCTCAGCACACATGCTGGCTGTAAAACTTATCTAACACCACTTCAACAACTTCATCTCATCTGTGGCAAGTCATTTGTGGAAGCCTCAGCCTGGCTTAAAAAAAAACTTGTAATAAAAATTCATAGAATCTCCAGGAGAATGAAGGCTGGATGACAATAGAAAGGTCACACTGTGTCTGCTCTAAAGAGGTCAAAGGTTGTTGGCGGTTCTAAAACTGAAAGTAGATTTCATGCATCGTGTAGCAGATAAAGATGGTATTAAAAAGACGTGCCGTGGGGTGAGATGCCTAACCCTGCGAGAGCGGTGTTAATATCCTATGTAAACCGCTCTGCAGCTATGAACCAGCATTTATTTCACACATGGAGTGTCTCCTGAACAGTACTAAATGTTTATGTGGTGCTGGGGTGTGCTGCACATTCCGTGGTTTAGAGGCTATGTTTTCGTTAAGCCACTAAACCCTGAAAATGCTGGGCTGTTTCACTGTCATAATTAAAGCACCTTCAATATGAAGTGATCCAAAAAATAATACTTTTCATATAAAAATTTGGGGCACACATGACACTGTGATTCTTAAGCCATGTATAATTTTTCCTGACTTCCATTTTAAAATGTAATTTAAAAAAGAATGTTAAAAATCATACTTAATGTCTATTAAAATGAAACAATATTAACAGATTATGCTAATAAATTAGAGCCATATTTTAATGTCACA